ACCTAAATTCAATATTCTAATTACGAATGAAAATATAGTAAGTATCATAATAACCTAATTTAAAAAAGGAAAATAGTAAATATAAGAGTATCTAAAATTAAATGAAATAGATTTTAATGTCCTTAGAAATATTGTAATAAGAAAGTAAATTAACCGCTTAAGATTTTAGGAATTGAGTTAAAGATTTTAATTCTAATTCACCAAAACTTAGCACTTTCTAAAAATCATAACCTTAGATAATTATTTCTTTAATAATATAATTTTAATATACAAAAGAAATATTATATTATTTAATTATAATATAAATTAATCCAAAAATTTCATTCTTTTCCTCATTCTTTTTCATGCAAAATTAAAAAAAATGGAAATAAGACAAAGATATAATAATCAATATATTTATTCTGTTTTGGATAGTAATCCATGCATGCTAAATACCAATGATTCAATATTTTCTGACTAGGTAATTTATAATAAAACTCTTTACTTTTCTCTTTTAGTTATGGGCATTTGGTCACCATAAATATAAAATAAATGCTATTTTGAAATAAATTGAAATTTTATTGCGAGACACCTGAAGAGAAAAGATGAGTATATTCATGTTTCATGATTAAATTATTTAATTCAATTTAAATTAAGTATTATATATTCATGAACGATTATTATATTTTGCTTTATGGAAGTTTATCAGGTTTTATAGCAGAAATTGTAGGAAATTTATCTAATTATTGGAAATATATGGGACATTATCATTCAGCTAATCCATTTTTATGTTCAAATGGAATGTTCAATAATTTGGATTAGAAAAGAATGTAATAATTCAAATTTGCCATAGATTTATATAATAGAGATTGTTTAATGATTTGGAGCTCAAAAAATTAATAAATAAATTGTTATATGATGGAAAGTGGAACTCCATAGCATGGTGTTTAAGATTGTATATAAAAGAAAGGCTCTATTAAAATATCATCAAAGAAAAATCAAATTAAAAATATCTCTTAAGGTATTTAAAAAATAAATAAAGTTAATTTCTACAATCTTTCTTATTTGGAAGCGTTGCACAACTTTGCTGCTCAACCTTATTTTAAATAAGAAATTTTCTTAAGAGCCAAATAGCTTTTAGTTTCAAAAGTGTCTACATCCGAATTATTTAATTTGGTACATTATTTGGGTAAAATTAATTTCTAAGTTAATAAGTACTTATGACATGATTAAAATGATAACTAAAAAGGAAGAAAAATAAAATTTTTTTACAGTTTAAATCTATCTTATTGCTTAATTTTCTAGCATCATAGCTTGCTTTTCAGATTCACTATTTTATTATTTTATTAACAAATCCTCAAGATTTTATTTTTTTTATGGAGAACGCATACTGGTTTCTAAAAATGGGTTGGCTCTATTTCTTTTTGATTGGCTTTCTTTAAGAGATGAGAAAGCATGAATTTATGTTAGTCATACAATTTAATACAATTTTTAAATATCAATTTAGTTGAAATACAAAAAAGATAATCCCATATTTGTAATTAATATAATCTTATTATTTCTCTTTTTTTTCAAATATCCATAAAATCCTAAAAGAAAATTTTGTTTAATTTCAAATGATTTCTTTAAACTTATTAGAGCATCATCAATATTTCCTTTACATATTATTATAATAAATGAATTGTTTAGCTTAGAACAATTCCTTAAATTTGGTTTACTATTTATGATACCTTATCCTCTGCATAATTCAGAACTTTCATTTTTACTTTTGCATAATGCTTAATTTAGTTTATTTATTCATTATTTTATATTAATAAATATTTATAAACTAATTTTCATATAAATGATATTAAAATAAATAAAGATTGTATAAAAAGAATAAAACGAATTTTCTAGAAGTATTTATTAAAACAAATTATTCTATGTTTAGTGATAAGATATACATGAAATAATGTAAATGAATATTAAAAACAAATTAAACAATTTTTGAAAATAGATAATATAGAATAAACTATTTTGTTAAAAAGAGAAGCCCTGTTAAGTTTAACAGGAAACTTAAATTCATTATAATTTGTTATCATTATAATACATCCTTTTAACATTCTTAATATTTATAATTTATAACAATTAATTCTGAAAGTAAAAATGTATAAATTAAATAATAAAAATATCAACTAATAAAGACATAATAAAATTCAAAAAGAAATGGATTTTCTAGAATATAAAATCAGAAAAATTTACTTTGCTTCTACTATTTAATTATAGATAGATATTCAATATTATCCTAAATAAATTAATAAATAAATTTAATATTGCAATGATTTCATTTAACTAACAATCTAATTAAAATTCTCTTTATATTTTACATTTTCTCATAATTTTTCCCTACTTTCTAATGATTTGACAAGATTTATAAGTAAAATTTTTTGCTAAATATTTTGAATTCTATACCTTAAAGTTTAATCTTATATTAGTGTTATTATGGATAATAAAATAAATTGTTGGATATTATTCATTAAATTTATTTCATAAAATCTTCGTTTATCAATAATTGATTATATCTCTTCTCTTCTATTTTATTTAATTTTTTTGGTAATTCTTACAATTCTTTATCTTCTATTTAAACTTGATCTTGAACAACTATTTCACTTTCTACTACTTCTGTAAAATTATGTTTTAATAAAATATTATATCCTTTAATTAATAATATTAACAAGATTACATTATATATTAATATTATGATATAAAAATTTAAGAGTATATAAATTTAATTAAATTGTTAATTCTATTAGTAATATTAATAATGTTCAAATATTCAATAA